TCTCTCATGGTTCATCTCTCCCTCCGATTCCCCCCCTTCATTTTTCCCTTCCTTCTCCTAATGTCCTCCATACTATTACTTATGTTCCACACATAAGTGAAACCATATGATAATTGACTTTCTCTGCTTGACTTATTTCACTTAGCATAATCTCCTCCAGTTCCATCCATGTGGATGTAAAAGTTCGGTATTCATCCTTTCTGATGACTGAGTAATATTTCATTGTATATATGGACCACATCTTCTTTATCCATTCATCTGTTGAAGGGCATCTCAGCTCTTTCCACAGTTTGGCTATTGCAGACTTGCTGCTTTGAACACTGGGGTGCATATGGCCCTTGATTTCACTACATCTGTGTCTTTGGGGTAAATACCCAAGAGTGCAATTGCTGGGCCCTAGGGTAGCTCTATTTTTAATTTTTTGAGGAACCTCCACACTGTTTTCCAAAGTGGCTGCACCAACTTGCATTCCCACCAACAGTGTAAGAGGGTTCCCCTTTCTGCATAAACTCTCCAAAATTTGTTGTTTCTTGTCCTTTTAATTTTTGCCATTCTAACTGGTGTAAGGTGTTATCTCAATGTGGTTTTGATTTGAATTTCCCTGATGGCTAATGATGATGAACGTTTTTTCATGTGTCTGTTAGCCATTTGTATGTTAGATAAATATTCTTTTTTTGTATTTCCTAATTGGGGCCAACCCCATATATGAAAGTATATGTAGAGCATTAATATACTAACAAGTTCTAGTGGATTCATGTTAAGAGTAACCAGTGATGCGTAGGGAATATGATCAATGGTGTTGTAATAGCATTGTGTGGTGGCAGAAGGTAGCTAGACTTGTGGTGAACACAGCATAATGTATAAACTTGTGGAATCACTATGTTGTACACCTAAACTAATGTAACCATTTGTGTCAATTATATTTCAATAAATAATTAATCAAAAAGAACAATTGTAGGGGCCCCTGGGTGGTTCAGTTGGTTAAGCGACTGCCTTCGGCTCAGGTCATGATCCTGGAGTCCCGGGATCGAGTCCCGCATTGGGCTCCCTGCTCAGCGGGGAGTCTGCTTCTCTCTCTGACCCTCTTCCCTCTCGTGCTCTCTATCTCTCATTCTCTCTCTCTCAAATAAATAAAATCTTAAAAAAAAAGTTTAAAAAAAAAAGAACAATTGTAGACATTAAGTTGTTACCGTTCTCGCAACTCTACACAATTAAATATTAAAGCCAGGAAACTCCCACAAATGTGCAATTTCCCATGAGGGACAGCATTAAAGTCCAATCCTGAGGCTCTAGCACAGAAGTGCTGATCCACATGTCAGGTGTCCTGGAATAAATGAGGCTCCACTGGGGAATGGTTCAGGGTGAAATCATGCAGTTGACATGGTAAAAACTACTGTTTTGGGGGGCACCTGGGTGGCTCAGTTGGTTAGGCGACTGCCTTCGGCTCAGATCATGATCCTGGAGTCCCAGGATTGAGTCCCACATTGGGCTCCTTGCTGAGCAGGGAGTCTGCTTCTCCCTCTGACCCTCTTCCCTCTCATGCTCTCTATCTCTCATTAAAAAAAATAAAAATAAAAAAATAAAAACTACTGTGTTTTACCCTTCCAATATTTTAAGATGCCACATAGCACACAGTGTGCTTTTTCTAAAATAAGATAATTAAAAACAGGCATTTTTAACAATTGACAGAAAATCTAAGATCGTATGATTGTATATATATATATTTTTTTAATTTGCAGTCACCACTAATATTTTGCTGCAATTCAGGTAGAAACAGAAATTATGCCTCCAAATGTCATAAACACTGGGATCTTGGACAATGAAACTCTATTTTTTCCATTCACCAATTTTATTCCTAACTAGTAGTGGACATTGATTAACTAAAACAGTCATGGAGTTGGGGCACCTGGGTGGCTAAGTTGGTTAATCATCTGCCTCGGATCAGGTCATGTACCCAGGATCCTGGGATCAAGCCTCGAATTTGGCTCCATTCTCACTGGGGAGCCTGCTTTTCCATTTCCTCCCCGTTCGTGCCCTCTCTTGCTATCTCTCTCCATATCTCTGTCTCTCACTATCAAATACATAAATCAAATATTTTAAAACATAAAATGAAATGTTCATCGGTCTCCCTGTGGTGACTTTGGATTGATCTTAAAACCACAGCTGTCCTTCCTAGCTCATCTGTGTCCACAGCTCTTGGGCAACCTGTCCAGACACATGCCTCCCATGTCCTGCCTGCGTGTGATAGTCCTGATCTCCTGGAGCCGGCTGGTTCACACAGAATGCTGCTGGGCACTCAGGAAGCATGGCCAAGTGCCAGCTGGCATTCCCTTGCACCTCCCATTCCTCTGCAGGGAACAAGCCCAAGCTTGAGGATGCCTGTGTACCATGTGCTCTTCCCTTCCTCTTCACCACCTGGCACCACCCAGGAATTCCAGGACCTGCTTCTGAAGAGAATTCTCAGACCAATAGCAATTTCATAATTGGGAACAACGGTGGGCACAAATTCAGATTTTAGCTGCATGGAAAGGGGACCTTTCCCTTCACTCTCAGAAGATGGAGCAGAGATTTATACCAGAGACATGGTCACTAGGTCAAGCCCTACCAGGAGAAGGAGTTGACCCTCACTTTACTGAGAGAGGCTACATTTCCCATACAACAGAACCTGTGACACTATAACCTGTGAAGGCAAAGACCTCAGGGGCTGTAGGACACAAATAGAAGGAAACTTCTTGTAATACTTCAGGTGAGGGACCTCAAGTTGCACGCCCCTTGGGTCTCATCACCCTCAGCCTTTCAAATGACCATGGGTTCTGCTCTTGCATCTCACAGCCCAGTTTTCAGGGCTCCTATTTGCAGGCCCAAGATGGACAGGACGTGACTGCCCTTGTCTGTCCTGAGCTCCGGCCCCAGGCTCACCCACACAGTGGTAATATCAAGATCATCACCTAAGTATCATCACCTCTAAAGCTCAAATCTAAACTTATAGGTCAGGTATAGTGAGACAGTGGGTTACTTCCATCCGGCGGTAAAAAGCTCTTCATCAATACACCTCTGAGAGCGCAAAACATTTCTTCTCCCTCTAATTCCCGCCCCCCTTCATTTTCCCTTCCTTCTCCCTGTGTCCTCCATGCTATTCCCTTATGTTCCACAAAGAAGGGAAACCATTTGAAAATTGTCTTTCTCTGTTTGGCTTAGTTCACTTAGTGTAGTTTCCGCCAGTGCAGTCCATGTTGATGCAAATGTTGGGTATTCATCCTTTCTGATGGCTGAGTAGCATTCCATTGTATATATGGACTGCATATTCATAATAAAAATATTAAAAAAAACAAAACAGCATTTCTTTCAATAAAATACAATTGTAGGGTAAGCAAGTGATGGCAGGGACTCACCTTCCTGTTCAAAAATAATAAAGTGTAATTTAAGAAGCTGTCACCAACACTAAAGTATTTGTATACCCATCTTGACAAACCCCATTAGGTTTTAGAGCCTGAGAATATTTTTCTCAGGCTTCAGCTTCTGGCCTTTTTGTTCTGAGATCAACCCATCCTTTTTGTTGGAAGCTGGAACACCTTTGAAGGTGAGCACTTTCATCAGTCTGTTTCTTGTCAGTGGAACTTGTGAGTCCAGAAATCTTTCAATTTCTTCTGTCTGCTATTAAAAAACATCCTCTGACAGAGACTGATAAGGAAGTCTTGTTGCAGGATTCCTGCTCACCTCTGAATATAGAAACTTATAGCTGAGTATTTACAGACTAGGAGCCTGCTGAGGGGTGAAAGATGGGCTACAGGTAGAAGGAGACATCCTCTGGAAAGGAGGGTCTGTAGTGCTCATGATGGGAGGGTCTCTAATTGCATGTTGGATAAATGGGGAAGGGGGAAAAGGAGTCCCTGAAACTCTGCAGAGGTCTGTGACACCAACAAGTCACTGGGAGCATCAGGGGGCGCTCACAACCACCAGGGAAACTCAGGAACCATGGAGCTCATGGTCCAGGACAAGTGCTTGGTAGAAGAATGATCTCCTCGCAAGGGTTTTCAGCTCCATGCTCTGCAAACTTCTTCCTGACACAAACACGGTAAACAGTTTGGAAAAGCTGTTGAACCAGAAGTATCTTCCTTTCTTGGAATCAATCCTCATAATGTTAAGACCCAAATTTGTGAAGTGCCAGGTAAAGGGAAAAGTTTAACTTGTGTGATCATGGCAATAACTGTGAGATTAGAAATAGAAGGATCTCCATTTCATAGAGGAGGAAACTTCCCTAAATAACAGCATCCATTCTGATCTCAGGCGTTCTGAGTTTCATTGTTTGCTGATGATTCCACCATTTTATTTTACTGAGGATTACCATGGAGATGTACAGAGACATCATGTGTAAATGCCCCTTGTGTTTGTTGAAAACCCACAACCTCTCCATCAGCTCTATGATTCTTTCTCTCTCTCTCTCTCTCTCTCTTTCTCTGAGTCTCAGTGTCTCCAAGTTTCTGAGACAAAAAGGTGGTCTCCACCTTTCAGTCATTTTGGGAATCTTGAAACTCAGGAAGACTGCAAACCTCACTACATATGACCAACTCTGACCTGAAGGTGGTTCAGAGGAGCAGACAGGTCTGGTGGTAGGGAGCACAGGCCAAGACACGGACTCACTCTCACTTGCTGTGTGCTCTTGGACACTCAGAAAGTCTGTCTGTGCTGCAGTGTGTATGTATCCACCTGTAAAATGGTGATAAATTTGTACCTACATTACATGTTTGGGGTACATATGTGGAAACAAGGAATAAAATGTGTGCTAATTAATGACCTTAGCAAAATCACATAAGGAGAAAGAACAATTTTCTGGAAGATATCATGCATACAGATTCTGCCAGGACCCTCATACCTGCTCTGAGTGTCTGCCATCTTGAGGATGTTACCTACCAAATTTCCAATATGGTCAGATGACATGCCAATAGGGCCCACCATTTGCTGATTTAAACCTGCTCAGCCCGGATCCTCAGTGTGAGTGGAGCCCTAGCCCCAGGATCTCTATGGAAACATTCAGTGATCAGGACAGAACACAGACAACTCACCATGGATTCTGTGCTTGGCTGGGTTTTCCTTGTTGCTCTTTTCAAAGGTAATTTATGTGGATAAGAGGCATTGAGTATGTGGTGGATATGAGTGAGAAAAACAGGGGATGCGTGACATTATCCTGACCAGGATACTGTATCTGCAGGTGTCCAGTGTGAGGTGCACCTGGTGGATCCTGCTGGAGACCTGGTGAAGCCTGGCAGTACCTTGAGACATTCCTGTGCAGCCTCTGGATTCACCTTCAGTAGCTATGCCATGTGCTGGGTTCGCCAGTCTCCAGGGAAGGGGCTGCAGTGGGATGCAGGTATTAGCAGTGGTGGAAGTTACATATACTCCACAGACTCTATGAAGGGCTGATTTAACATCTCCAGAAACAATGGTAAGAACATGCTGTATCCGCAGATGAACAGCCTGAGAGCTGAGGACACAGCTGTGTATTACTGTGCAAAGGACACAGTGAGGGAAATCACTGTGAGCCCAGAGACAAAGCTCACAGAAGTGGATCTGGACCACCAGGGGGTGCACAGTACTCACCAATTCTGTATTTAAGCCCCAGGCACAGCTGCAGATGGAGGTTAAGTGCAGGTTTCCTGTCAGGATTCCTCTTCATACAGCAGTTTCCACCCCCCGCCCCGGGAGCCTATCTGCACACCTGATACTTTGCTTTCCTATTTACTCTCTGACTTAAAAATTTGGAAAACAACTATACTAACAAGCACAAAAGATAGTGTCACTTACCTTTGCTTCTACCTGTCCCTAAATATCAATGAATTACAAATATCTCCATGCACATCATCTTAACACTTATAGAAGTCCCAACTGCACTCATTGATATCACAGGAACACCCAGCTCAATGTGCAAGCTTGTTAGAAGCACCATAAATTGCATGCCAGACAGGAGGCTACAGCAGCATCAACAACCCAAAGCAAGAGAATTAAGAGCCCTGGTGGAAGTCACTATCTTGACCATGCTCACAGAGTCAATATTAATGACAGCATTGGAAAACAGAGGGACCCCCTTTGTCCCCTAGAGGGACCAAGATATGATGTGGACATGGATTTTGATGATGACACCACACACACACACACACACACACACACACACACACACACACGAGAGTATAAAACCTTTATCATTTCCACCATAATGTCTGCTCAGAGTAGGGCAGGCTCTCAGCAACTCATAACTGCTTGGAGAAAGCCAGGGAAGGACACTGGTTTAGGGTGTGTGTTGTGGGTCAGTGGTATGGATGGGATCCTGCTCAGGGGAGGGGATTGTGTGGAGTCAGTCTCCCACCTGCATCAAAGGAGGGAGAACCCGTGGGTTCTTGTTAGATATTCCATCAGCGACGAAGTAGGGGAAGAGGGAGGAATGAAGGTCATCAAGCTAGTGGACAATAATCAAAAATTACTATGTGATGAATAATTCCACTAAACATGAATGAAAACTTGGAGAACAAAAGAGAGAAATGACCATACTAAGTAGAGAAATTCTGGATCATTGGAAAATAAAAAGAAGGATCCATGGAAAATCAAAATTATAAAGTCATGATAGAAGTAGCCTGAGTCCTACCCAGTGTCTGGGGTGGAAGATATCCAGTCCCCAAAGTCACCAGCTGGTTCTGCAGGTCTTGGATTTGCTGCATGCCTGCAGAGACCAGAAGCTTCTATGATCCATGAGAATCCTCAGGTTGACGTGCTGGATGGGAGGAGGCTTCCACCTGCAACTAATTGATCCTCCAGGTGCTGATATCAGCTCAATGTGTATGACCACTACCATCACCATGTTAAACCTAATGACAATGTGATGGGAGGAGGAGGTGGGGCCTTAGTGAAGCACTTAGGTCAGGTGAGTGCAGCTTCATTATGGGAAGAGTGCCCTTATACAGCAGGACTGGGAAAGCTCCCTGCTCCCTGAACCCATGTGAGGTGACAGGGAAAGGACACACTAGGATGTGGGTGCTCTCCAGACACCAGATCTGTCTGCACCTTGACCTGGGACTTCACAGAATCCAGAACTCTGAGAAATGAGTATCTGTTCTCAAAACCTTCTGGTCCATGTACATTGTAACAGCAGCTGGAACAGACTAAGACATTAGTGACACATGAACCCAAGCACTGATGCTCTGCAGTTTCCCTGCTGCATTTGTTGTGAAACGTCCCTGATAAGCTCCTGCAGTGAGTTTCAAGGGTGTATTTCTCACATGTTCGCTCCTGCAGATAGGACTAACCAGTTGACTATCCTCGGACTCTGTGAAAAGACACAGTGCACACATAGAGCGAGAACCTTGGTACAAGGGAGTCAGGGTTTCTGAGCGATTGTAGAGCTTTAATTTAAGAATGTTGTTCTTTCAAACTTTCCAGAACATGTGGATGTGATGACTCTGTGGGATCTGAGTCTGATCATCACCTTGCAGAGTTGTGTTATACTGAAAGCCTTGAGGTTAAGTACCTTTGTTCCCTTGCTCCTATCAGGATTCTTTCCTTGTCTGTATTTTGTGAATTGACCATGACATGCCTATGAGATGGTGGGATTTTGTTGAAAATAATGGTTGTTAACTGTGCTACCAGGATTTTGATGTTTGTGTCCTTCTCCATATTAGGGAACTTTCTGACTATTATTTTATGGAATAAACATTCTCCCCCTTTTAACCTTTCTTAAACTTCTGGGACTCCAATGCTATGAATGTTATTATGTTTTAAAAGCCACTGAATTCCCTAAGTCTACCTTTGGAGTCCATTATCTTGGTTTCCATCTTCTTTGCACTCATTATTTTCTATACTTTTATTTTGTATATAACTGATTTGATCCTCTCCTTAATTCAACACACTTTTATGGCCTCCACTTGGGATTGATTCTTGGTTTTAGTATTTTTAATTTGGGCCTGACCGATTTTAGCTCATTTATCTCTGCAGTAAGAGTTTATCTAATGCCTTCTATCCTTTTTTCAAGTCCAGCTAGTACACTAATAAACATTGTTTGAACTTCTACTTCAGACTTCTTACTTACTTTTGTATTAATTAATCCCTGACCATGAAATTTACATCCTATTCATTCTTCTGTGGTGGCTGTTGTTTTTGAAGAGAATAAAAGAACAGAGGGGTAAAAAGACAAAAATCATGAAATGTAGGTCCTGGGTTTGTTTTGGTCTGCTCCTTGAGAGAATATAGAATACAAAATTAAAATAAATAAATATAAAATAAAATGAAAAAAGAAAAAGAAATATAGGCATAATACATTCACAAAAATAAAAATTAAAAAAATAATAATAATAAAATAAAATGTCAATGGTATTTTGGTAGGGATGGCATTGGATATGTAGATTGCTCTGGGTAGTATAGGCTTTTTAACCATGTTTATTCCTCCAATCTATGAACATGGAATGTTTTTTTCCATCACTTTGTGTCTGCCTCAATTTTTTTCATAAGTGTTCTATAGTTTCTAGTGTACAGATCTTTTACATCTTTGGTTATGGTTATTCCTGTGTATCTTATGGTTTGGGGTGCAATTGGAAATGGGATCAATTGCTTAATTTCTCTTTTTTCAGTCACATTGTTAGTGTATAGAAATGCTATATTTTATGGAACAAGCAAAGACCCTGAACCACAAGGGGGATTTTAAAAAAGAAAACCAAACTTGGGGGCATCACAAAGCCTGACTTCAAGCTGTATTACAAAGCTGTGATCATCAGGACAGCATGGTACTGGCACAAAAACAGCCACATAGATCAATGGAACAGAATAGAGAGCCCATAAATGGACCCTTGAGACTGTTCAACTATTCTTTGACAAAGCAGGAAAGAATATCCAAGGGAAAAAAAGACAGCTTCTGAAATAAATGGTGCTGGGTAAATTGGACAGCCACATACAGAAGAATGAACCTGGACAATTACACCATACAAAAGATGAACTTAAAATGGGTGAAGGACATAAATGTGAGACAGGAATCCATCAAAAGCCTAGAGGAGAACCCAGGAAGTAACCTCTTCCAACTTGGCCGCAGCAACTTCTTACAAGACATATCCCTAAAGGCAAGAGAAACAAAAGCAAAAATGAAATATTTGGACATCATCAAGCTAAAAACTTCCGGACACCAAAGCAAACTGCTAACAAAACTAAAAGGCAAACTTCAGAATGGGTGAAGATATTTGCAAATGACATTACAGATAAGGGGCTGGTCTCTGAGATCAATAAATAACTCATCAAACTCAAGACTCCAAAAGTAAATAATGCAGTCAAAAAATGGGCAGAACACGAACAGTCACTTCTCAAGAAGACATACAAATGGCTAATAGACACATGAAAAACTACTCCACATCACTTTCCATCAGGGAAATACAAACCAAACCACAATGAGATACCACCATACACAAGATATAATGGCAAAAATTAACAAGACAGCAAATGTTGGCGAGGATGTGGTGATTTTAAGCTAAAGACTGTAGTTAGAGACACAGAAGGACACTATATCATTCTTAAAGGCTCTATCCAACAAGAAGATCTAACAATTGTAAATATCTATGCCCTGAATATGGGAGCAGCCATCTATATAGCCAAACGTTTACCAAAATAAAGAGTCATATTGATAACAATACGCCAATTGTAGGAGACCTCAATATTCCACTTTCAGCAATAGAAAGATCATCTAAGAAGAAAATCAACAAAGAAACAAGAGCTTTGAATGACACACTGGACCAGATGGACATCAAAGATATACACAGAACATTCCACCCTAAAACAACAGAATACTCCTTCTTCTCGGGCGCACATGGAACTTTCTCCAGAATAGACCACATACTGAGTCACAAATCAGATCTCAACCAATACCAAAAGATTGAGATTATTCCCTGCATATTCTCAGACCACAATGCTTTAAAACTGGAACTCAATCACAAGAAAAAACTTGGAAAAAATTCAAACACTTAGAAGCTAAAGACCACTCTGCTCAAGAATATTTGGGTCAACCAAGAAATCAAAGAAGAACTTAAAAAATTCATGGAAACCAATGAGAATGAAAACACACCAGTCCAAAACCTATGGGATATT